AGGGAAAATTGAGTGGAGCATGGAGGAGGTTATGGTAGAGTTATTAAGCTCTGAAGAAGTGGATTGTGGAATGAAAGAAAGAGAGGCGTTGTTGGGGTTTGCAGAGAGGGGCATGTTTGTTCCATAGTTCAAGTGCTGGAAGGAGAAATATGATCCTACCACATCAGAGGGTCGGCAAGTGTTATCATGGCTGGTGGTACCAAACCTATCTAGGAATAGTTCCTGTGTGGAACAACTAGTGGAAACTTCAAGAGGGTGGTATCTCTCTGAAGGCATTGATTTTGGTAGCTGATCAACCAAACTCACTTCATTGGATCCCACTGAGGCTTTCTGATTGCTTTTGTCGGTTGAGGGTGGCATGTCCTTGTCGTTCTCAACCTCAGAAAGTGGTTTGTGGGTGTTTGGGTCAATGCCTCTTTGCCTCAGCTTCTTCTTCAGGCACGAGTTCCATAGATTCTTAATCTCATTGTCAGTTCTTCCCGGTAACTGTGCTGCAATCTGAGACCACCTGGTATCAAGCAAACCACATGAAGAAAACAACAACCACACATGCATAAAACAAAAGTCAAAAGTAATAACTGTACGTTAAAATAGAAAAAAAGGCCTTGTGTGATAGTTTGGTTTGGTTCCTCAACTGAACCATGTACAAGATTTTATTATAACTAAATTACCTGTTTCCAAGGACTGCATGGAGTTCAATAATCATGTTCTCTTCCTGCTGTGAGAATGCTCCTCTCTTCAAATCAGGCCTCAGGTAATTTATCCACCTCAACCTGCAGCTCTTCCCACACCTTTGCAAACCTGGCATGTACAATTAAGGTTAGAAAGACCCTCTTGTCTTGTCATTCATTCATTGTGCAAACAAGTGTTGAAAGTTGAAACAAACAATATTATAGTACTATACATATGTACCAGCTAGTTTGGGGACCGAACTCCAACATCCATGACCATGTTTGGTGATGTAATTCAGAAGCTTCTCATCTTCCTCTGGAGACCATAGGCCTTTCCTTAACTTCTGTTTGTAGCAGCAAGAGTGTCTCCCCATGTGTACGTCACTCAATATACCAATGCTTTAAGAACTCTTCTTTCCAAAGTCCAAACCTACGTGAAAAGGAGTTTTGGTGGGGTGAGGGAAAGAATTAACAGGCCCTTAATTGGTTAAACAGGATTTTGGTTAGAGAAGAAAAGTTGAGAAAATAAAATGGCAGCATGGTAGGGAATCAAATAAATAGGAGGAGCCTTAGAGAGGAGAAAGATGATTGGACAGTGCCATTTATTTTATTTTATATCCTCTCCCTTCTTCACGGGACAATTAATCCACATAATCACCTTGGTCCCACCATCATTTTTGGACGGTCCTGATGCTCCCACGTTTCCTCTCCATTGGATGTATCATGTATATATAGGACAGGAGAGTAACGCACAAGATTAATTATTTTGATTTGTATGTATATATGTAAATACATGCATATGTCCCATTGGCATTTTCTCGAGAGATCCCAAAATTTTAACTCAATGGTTATCATCCTCATGTGACTGCATAAACCAATTTTTGGTAATTGCCATATGCTACAAAGCTAGCTAAGAGTGTTCTTACTTTTCACCGACCTAGGTGGTTATGGACCATGCTGATTAAATAGAGCTGAGAGTTCTAAATTGTAATCTCGTGTGACGAAACGTCCCCATTCCCATATGATATAATATATAATAGCAAGAATAGAGAGAGAGAGAGAGAGTCATAGATAAAAGAACTATGTATGGAAATTGAAGGAGTGGCTTTGCTATAGGCTAAACTACTCCAAGAATGGTAAGATGAAGTATAAATTAACCACATGATTTGAGAAGGGCAAAATTCTCGTAGACAAGTAAACCCTGAGAGTAGCAAGGTGTGCAAAACAAAGTATACTGCATTAAATTGATGATAACAGAAGCTTCTCTAGGTTCTTATTGTGTTCCCCTTTGGTAATTATACTCAAAGTTTTGAAAACTCTATGGCCCTTTGCTTTTCTTGACTAACTTTTTCTGCCAGGTACCCTATGTAGAAAACTGCCCTTGTCTTCTTCTCGGCTTTTTGGGATGGTTTTTCAAAACCATGATCGTTTGGAAAAGTTTCATCATTTGGGAACAAATGCAAAATTTCTTTTGACATCTGTATGTCCAGGTTAAGGTCATATTTCTACCCTTAGAAACTGCTGGAACTTCAACTAACTATCCGAATGATTCATCTATTTTGCAATTTGAAAGTTACGTTATGTTGTCAATTAAATGTGGTTTCTTCAATGTCAATTTTCTGACTTCATACGACTTCTGTGTTTGTGTGGTAAGATACTAAAACCGTTGTTTTTTTAGGTAGGATACTAAAACCAAAGTTAATAATAGAAATAAACAACTGTACTTCTCTATACCAATGCGACAATCACAATAATGCAATTGTCCCTTCTTCCTTCTAGTCTGCGTCTCTGCCTCTCACACATATCATATAAATGAGAAAACAGACAATTTTGGATCATCAAATTTTACAAACCGCAGCCACGCTCAGATGGATAAAACTTTTATTACTAGATTCAATTATCTCATATATAATACGAGTGTAATTTTTATGCACAGAAAGAGAGAAAAAGATCTTACACACAGTGAATTAATAAGAAATTATGATAAAAATAACTTTTATGATAGTTATGGTTAAAGTTATCAAACCTTACTATTCATGATTTATAATGGAATGAAAATGTAGTTATTTTATAATGTGAGACTATTTTCTCTGAGCTTCAACCTTAAAGTTAAATTTGATATGTTTAAGAAAGAAATAAGGTGGATAAAATTAGGAAAAAAAATATACATTTTTTTTAAATAAGTAAAATATTATTGATAAGGGTACCAGAAGTACTCCCAACTTACCACCAAGATACATAAAGTTAATAGTGAAGAGGGTCTAAAGACCAATCAGGACAAACTAGAATCCTCTAATTTTTTTGAGAACCAAAACCATGATCAGACCTTAATAAGATCTAAGGTAGAGTTGATATTAACCGGCTCTCTTTTAAACACAACGTCATTCCTCTCAAGCCAAATAGATCACATTACTGAATGTTAAATAGAGTAATTTTTTTATTTAATTTGAAGAAATAGAAGTAAAATTGAAAAAAAAATATATTATTTTTTTTTCTAATTTTTTTTGGTTTATTATATAAGAAAAAAATTAAATTAAAGATAAAAAGATTATATTACCCCTAACAATTGATTTTCATGTAAATGACAATTGATTTTGCAGACATGGAGATGCAAAAATCAACTATCAAATACTACAAAATTGTTCTTGTCTTACGTATAGTATACTCCGTGGAATGCTGGTGTCAATCGTTAACTTATATGCATGTCTTTTGATATTCTATTGCATATAATTCTCTTTGTCAATTGATTATGTATGACTTTGAAAGGGTTAATATAGGTATTAATATTATCCCTAATCTCTTTAATTAAATAAAATCATTTTTAATTATTATAGAAAGAAAAAAAAACATAATTAATAAGAGAGAGTTGACCGTAGATAATTAATTTGATTTTTCAACGAAATTCGTGGTTAATAAAATTGGTAAATATTTTATAGTTTATACCATTAACATGGTAATAATAAAAAAAAATTGTCTCCTTCGGAGTTCATCTCTACCAAGTACGTAAACTTAATTTTCAATATTGTTTATATTTTCTCTCTATTATCTCAAATTATTTTCTAGCAAAGAGAGTGTAACGGAAAGGGAATTAGCGAGCGAGAAAGATACAGAATGATGTTGAGTGATGTTGGAAGAAAGGGGTCGTGTCATTTCATAAACACAACACAGTGGCAGACCAAAGACTAAGTGGGATCTGAATTATTCATCTAGGTGGTGGCTACATTGCATCATAGGCATACAAGAAATAAAACATAAAATTAAGCAAATGATTATGAGACTGTAAAAAGGTAGTGTTTGGGAAGAAAAGGTTGAAGGGTTTTAGTCTAATAGTACCATTTCTCCCCTCTAGGGACAAAACACAAAAGCAGAGCAGAGAGGTCCAAACAGGTCACTGTATATATGTGCCATTCCACAAGCTTTCTCACTTTAATCAGACAATGTCATTTTTAAATGACCATGCTTTTAACTTTTAACTACGAGATTCGTGTCATCATGAAGGAATTCCCTCTATGTAATCATATAAATTACAAAACAAAATGGGGACACGGGTGGGGGTGGGGAAGTTCATTCACTCATTCTTCCATGCATAAACACCAATTCTCCAAATTCCACTATTCACTATTTTCAGTTTTGCTACTTCACCAATCCAAAAACTAATACCAACACAAACACAAAACCACTTACTTAATTATTTAGTTATCTAACTATGCTATCTATGCTCTCACTCTCACCTAAGCTTAGGTATTCTTTCATTTCGATGCTTCTTATAAAAAAATATTACAAGTACCACTAAATCATAAACATTGTCATGCATGATACCAATAATGTTTAAAATACAACAAAGACTATGATATATATGGTCCAACAGAGCAGTATATAAGAGAGACAATTTTTTTTACAAGTCAAGATTGAATTAAACAAAAAAAAAAACTCACATTTTAAGATGCATTAAAGATTTCATTCTAACTAGTTATATGATTAAATTAAAGTAAATAAGTGAAAATAATCATGATCTTATGATCTGATTTTGTAAGATTAGATTTTTATAATAATTATTTAAAAAATCATATAATTTTTTTTTTAATAAATTTACAACATAAAAATATTTATACCCATAGTGCACGAAATTAAACTAAAAATCTTGGATCAAATAAATAAAAATTTAAACCAAGCAATGCCTTCACCCTAACAAAATGCAGGATATACCATGAATGAGTTATGAGGAATAAGTTACGTTGGTGTCTCTGAAGTGGACTCTTCTTTGTATTCAATGTGAGTCTCTAAGCTTCTGCATCTCCTTGGCTTTTTAAATCTTTTTTTATATATACTCATATATATATATATATATATTAATATTATATTTGTATATTATCACATTATTAATTATAATAAAACTAAAAAAAATTAAGTAAAAAATGATAATATTATTTTTTTAATTAATAAAAATTTAATTTATATATAAAAAAATTAATTTCACATCTCCAAATTTTTTATTAAGTTCCGCAACTGCAGGCCTACATGTGGCTATTGAACTTGTGGCAGAAATTCCAATTAAACAGTAATAATTTAAGACATCTCGTCAAAAAAAGATATATAGATTTTTTTTTTCAACACTACAATAATTAGGTCAATCGCATTTTCGTAGGACAAGACATGAATAATTTATTGAAACAAGGGGTGATAGCAAAAGTTTCCATAAGGAATATTGGCTCTAATTTTTTGGTCTAGAATTATTGATTCACACTCATCGATTTCGGCACCTAAGTTGAGTTAGGTCAAGTAAGATTATTATAGTGTCTTTGGGAATTTCACTTTTAGCCGTTAAAAAGAAACTGTTTATAAAATAAGTTTTTAGTTTGCAAACAATTTTTTATTATATAAAAATAAGTTATTTTTCTTGAATTTGAAATTTATAATTATTTTTTAACAGTTTTTTTCTTCTTAAGTTAGCTAATTTATTAAATAAAACCTGATTTTTTTTTATATTCAAACGAAATTACATATCTCAAAATCCCTTTTCAACAAATTTACCTAAACAATTTTTATATATTATAATCAATTATAATAATAATTAATTATACATATAATCTATCATTAAATAATATGTTTTACAACTTTCTCATACACATTCTTAAACACAAATTCTAGATGTTATTGCATTAGTTTTTTTAAAGGGAGATATCATTGCATTATTATTATTATTATTATTATTATTATTCCTAACAAAATCTATGTAAATAAGTTTATGCTAAGTTGTTTTATGACCTATTAAAAAATAGACTTTTGACCTATTTATATTGAGGTATTATTGACCTATTTGGATTGATAGTTTGTAAATCTGATTTATTAGTATGTGACCTAAAGTAAATTTTAGGAGGATTTTTTATTTTATTTTAATAAGAATTATATGTTGAGTTTTTTTTTATTAACATATGTGACTTTTTATTTTATAAAAATTAATAACAAATAATTTTGGATGGTAGACGAGTTTTAGTCGACCTTACATTTTGGAAAGGTAAACTTGAGTTTTAGTGACCTTAGTTTTTAGTCAAGCTCATAGGTTTATTGACATGTTTATAAAACCTTATTAATATATATAAAAAGAGTAAAAGAAAAGAAGAATTCACTTACT